AGGCAAATGGAAGGAACTCTTCTATGTCACAGCTTTCTTTTATGTGGCTCTTAAGACTGACCCCTCTGTTCTTGCCCACTATTCACCTGCTCACATGTTTTTAGCTATACCATCTGCTACTCTGGAACCCTCCACTCCTGCTATGGACCCAGCTGACGAGCTCCACCTTCCTGGTCTCGGAGAGCCATCTCCTCCAGTTCTGCCCGGTCAAGCGACACCTCACCTAAGCCTTCTTCTTCCAAAGTTTCTTCCAGGCATACAAAGCCCTCACCTGAGCTTTCTCACTATGACACCTCATGTAAATCTTCCAGTTCTAGGTCTCCAGAAGTCCCACATAAATCTTCCAGGTCCAGGCATAAGAGAACCTCACCTAACCTTTCTCCTTCTAGGTCCCCGGAGACCCCACCCAAATCCTATTCCAGATCTAAAAGAGTCTCACTTAAAACACCCTTCTTCTGCCAGCAGGTCTCCATCCGGCTCCTCAGGCTCCGCTTCCTCCCACCCACCCCCTCCTCATCGTAGGTCATACAGGTCATCAGAAGCCTCTTCAGATTCATCCTCCCCATCTCCCTCCTGCCCTACTCCACTTCCTCGGTCTTCCAAAGCCCCGCTGAGTTCCCCTTCCTCTCGCGCTGGCTGTGTGGTGCTAGCACCTTCCTTCACTCCTCCGCTCATGCGTTCACGTGCCGTCAGGGAGCCTAATCCTAACCAAGCCAAGCCTGCTGCCATCCTGCCACTGCGGGAGGTGGCTGGTGCAGATGGATTGGTTAGGGTTCATGCTCCGTTTTCCCTGTCAGAACTTTCCCATATAGCCAAATTACTTAGGTCCTATACGTCTAATCCTACCACTTTTATAAAAGAATTTCAATATATTACCCAATCCTACAACCTCACTTTCCATGACATTTTTATGATCCTGTCTAATAACTTTCTTCCCAAGGAGCGCAGGCGGGTCTGGGAGCAGGCCAGACAACATGCGGACCAAGTTCACCAAACTCTAGCCTCCCACCCTCCGGGGGCAGAGGCGGTTCCAGACCAAGAACCACACTGGGACTATAACAGTCCGGGTGAGGTTTTGGCCAGGGACTGATTTTTAACTTGTCTCCTGACAGGCCTCCGTAAGGCTGCCCTTAAGCCAATAAATTGTTCTAAACTTTCAGAGATTATCCAGGATACGAAGGAAAATCCTTCTGCATTTTTGGAACACCTTACGAAAGCCCTGTTGCAGTTTACAAACTTGGACCCAGAATCCCCGGAGGGCAGACAGTTACTAATGACTCACTTTTTAAAATCAATGTTATTCAGACATCAAGGCCAAGCTCAGGCGTTTGGAGAAGGGCCTTTTAACCCCACAGGCGGAAGTCCTGAAGACAGCTTTCAAAGTGTATCATGCACGACATGACAAAGCTTGCAATCACTGCCACGTGATAGCCTGATAGCCGTGGCTGCTCAACTGACCGAGGTGACAGGCTACCCATTCCATCCTGTTCATGCTGCTCCCCCACCTCCCAGGGTGCGTGAACCACCGGGTCTGTGCTTTAAGTGTGGTAAGACAGGTCACTGGGCCCGAGGATGCCCTAATCCCCATCGAAGTCCTAGGGGACCTTGTCCAAGGTGTCACAGGGAAGGTCACTGGTCTGTAGATTGTCCACTTGTGCTTGGTGGCATGGACGCATTAGACCCTAAAAATTTCCAAGTTGACCTATTCTGCTTGGCCCTGGATGACTGAAGGTGCCTGGGCTCCTCCCTTAACGACCCAACTGCCACTGTCATCTGCAATCAGGAGCCATGGGTACTTCTCACTGTGTCAGGATAGCTCATCTCGTTCCTCTTGGATACCAGAGCAACGTATTCGGTTCTGAGGGAATTCTGGAGGCCAACCTTTCCTTCAAGTTCTCCTATTGTCGGGGTAGGGGGACAGCCTTATTTACCTCAACAAACTCCACCACTCAATTGTGTGTTTAGAGGTATTTTTCTCACTCATTCATTCTTGGTTATGCCAACTTGTCCAGTACCCCTCATGGGGAGGGACCTTTTAACTAAGGTTGGAGCCTCCATTTCTTTCACTCCCCCCATTCGCTTTATTCCAGATTCGTCAGTGACGCAGTTTCTTCTTCTCCTGGCTCCCCAACCTTCTGACACTAACGCGTCTTTTCCTCTTCCAGCCTCCCAAGTGGATCCTCTGGTGTGGGACACCCAAAATTCCGCTGTAGTTAAACACCATTCCCCCATTGTTATTCTATTAAAGACCCCACCAAGTATATTACTCAAGCTCAGTACCCCCTCTCTTCCCAGAGCCTCAGAGGACTTAAACCTCTTATCTCTGACCTTTTGAGGAAAAGGCTGCTCCGCACCACCTCCTCCCCCTTTTATACCCCTATACTGGCTGTTAAAAAATCTAACAGAACTTATCGTTTAGTTCAGGACCTCCAGCTCATTAACTCTGCTGTTGTTCCTCTTCACCCAGTCGTCCCTAATCCCCTTACCCTTCTGTCTAACATTCCTTCAGGAACCTCTCACTTCTCAGTTCTAGACCTCAAGGATGCTTTTTTCTCCATTCCCCTCTGTCCTCAATCTCAAAACATCTTTGCCTTCACCTGGACTGATACTGACACTAATTTTTCCACGCAGCTCACCTGGACTGTCCTTCCCCAGGGATTCCGGGACAGCCCACACCTCTATGGCCAGGCTTTGGCCTCTGATCTGCTTTCACTGTCTCTCCATAAATCAAAACTAATTCAATATGTAGACAACATTCTCCTATGCAGTCCGTCTTTGGAGATCAGCAAGACAGACTGCAGCCCTATCAAATTTCCTATCCAAAAGGGGCTATAGAGTCTCACAATCTAAGGCTCAATTGTCCACCACTCAGGTAACATATTTGGGATTAGCCATAACCCCAACCCAAAAGGCTATCACTCTGGACAGAAAAAAACTAATTCAATCTCTTGCAGTTCCTTCCACCAAAGAAGAGGTCTTATCGTTCCTGGGAGTGGCCGGTTTCCTGCGTTCCTGGATCCCCTCCTTTTCTCTCCTTGCCCGTCCCCTATACGAAGCAGCTCTTGGCTCCGTGCATGAGCCCCTTCTTCATCCTATTACCAAACCCTTCCAGAGATTCCAACGGGCCCTTATCCAGGCTCCAGCTCTTCATCTTCCAGATTTAACTCGTCCTTTTTCTCTTTATGTAGCAGAAAAGGAGGGATATGCCCTTGGGGTCTTAGGACATCAATTGGGACCTTCTCTTGCGCCTGTAGCATACCTGTCAAAGAAAATGGACTTCACCACTCGGGGCTGGGCACCCTGCATACGTGCTTTGGTGACTGCTGAGCTTCTTATTCGTGAGTCAAAGAAACTAACCTTTGGGGCACCCACCACAGTCTTCTCTCACCATAATCTGTCCAACCTCTTAACTTACAAAGGCTTACAAATCCTACCCCATTCCCGAGTCCTTTCCCTTCAGGTGGTGCTGGTAGAAGATGCCAGTCTCACCTTTCAATGCTGCCCACCCCTTAATATCTCAAATCTTCTACCTCAACCTAATGTTAATGATTCCCCATCTCACTCCTGCATAGAGACCTTAGATGATCTACTGCCCCACCCCTTACACATATAGGAGGGCAAACTGTCCCAGGCCACTTATACCTGGTACACAGATGGCAGCTCCTTTTTATGTGATAGGACCCGTTCGTCCTCTTTTCCCTTCTCTCCCTTTACCGGTACACACGCTGCAATAAACCTCACACCACGTGGGTTTTGTTGTGTCTTGCGTCCTCCTTTTCGTCACGAAGAAGAAGAAGAAGAAGAAGAAGAAGAAGAAGAAGAAGAATGCTCAATAAGAATGGCCCTAATCACTTGCATATTTCAATGCTTGGTCCCCAGTTATTGCAATTGTTGGAAAAGGATTTGGAGATCCAGTCTTATTTAGCTGGAGGTGAGCTTTGACGTTTACAATGACATTAAAGTCTCTCTTTCTTTCTATTTCTCTCTCTATCTCTATTTCTGTGTGTCTGTGTATGCATGTGTGCATATGCGTCTGTGCCTCATAAATATAATCTCAAGATGTAAGTTCTCGACTACTATTACAGTGCCATGCCTGCCTGCCATGCTCCCCACAAGGATGGACATGGATTTTTATTCCTCTGCAACTGTGACTCTGTCCAAAATTTAATGCTTTAAAACACGTTTCCTGGATCATGCTGTTTACTCACAGTAATAGAAAAGTAACAAAGACGGATCCTAAATTGCAGGTATGTTTGTGATCAGACGATTGATGAATTTATCAATACAATCATGAACAAAAGCCTGAGTCACTCAAGATATGCCTTAGCTTTAGCGTTCTCCAGTTGCTGACCCAGCACAAGGTTCCATATATCATACCTGGATATCAGTTGACTCTTCCTTCAGGTACAGTGTCTTAAAGATGGAGAAACAGAAATCCTACAGATCACCGAGCATACACTCACTTTCAGATCCATACCAGGTTCTACAGATCATACAAGTTTCATCAGGTTGTGCAATGCACATCTGTTTCCCAGGAACACATTCCTGATATTTTTGTACGAATGGCACAGAACACATTGGAAAACTGAAAAGATTATGACTCATGAGAGGTGGAGTGTATCATTTCTGTCCCTTCCCAAAGAGCAGAGGTCATCTGACTTCTGGATAACGTGGCTGCACCAATGTTTTGGCTGCAAATATGCTCTAGACAGCAGCTTGTTCTAACACCACAAATAACACAGGGTGAAATAAAAGCTGATTTACTTGTCTTCCTTCAACAGATGAGGGAGCAACCTGCAGGCACTACTTACCAGTTTCAAACCAGAGAAGAGACGCAGCTTCACTAAGTTTCCCCTTTCTCCTGAGCAGACTCTTGCAGCAAGCTGTTAGTGCCAGACAGCTGGCGATCAGAGATCACTCCCAGAAAAGACTAAGACAGCCTCTAGTCGATGTATAATGCACACACACACACACACACACACACACACAAATAAGGGTAAACTAATTTAATTGAACATAATCTAAGAAAACATATTGAACAGTGAACTCAATTTGATAAGTCATTCAATGTTTTGCACAACACCCAATGTAAATTAAGGGCATTCATATAAAATAGGAACTGTATCCAAGGAATGTTATGTAGAAACCAGGGTATGAGGCTGGAGGTATCATTCAGTAGAAAGCTTGATGATCCAGGATTATAACTTAGTGACCAGCTCTGAAAGAAAAAGATTTCAATAATTGTAATAAATAAATAGTTATGTTTAAACATAAAATCACATGCCATAACCCATTCATGTTTCTAGACTTTGAAATGACCACCTGAAAGTATAAACAAGCTGGGACATAAGGAGAGGACCACTAGAAGAGTTTCCTTTAGACTGCAAGTCATACACTTTGTAGGTTGAACATAAAACCTACAGAAATTATAAAAATAAATATTCTGAATGACCCCAACTTCAAAAGCTATGGAAATGTACTAAAGTAAAGCTAAACAGCAGAGCTTTCCAGAAGGACAATGAAGCCCATGGTTGAGTGAACAGACAGTGGAGATGGACGCTGTGGTGCAGGAGCTCCCTCACCTGGGACGTCTCATCCTCGTCACTTGACAGCACTGAGCATGTCTAAGGGATTCCACAAGCACACCTCTGGGTGCGTCTGTGAGGACATTTCTTGAGATGATTAGCACGCGAGGTCTCTGTCCTACACCATGGTGTAGGATGTTAATGTATTTTAACGTTTGACAGAATGATAAGAGATGGGAGAATTTCCTTGGGGAGCCTGGATGGAGGAAGTAGGTAACCAGGGATTTTTCCTTGGGAGTTGTATCTTTTCTTGATTCCTTCCTATTTCACTTGGCTGTGCTTCCCCCAGGCATGAATTTAAAATCTCTGTTCTACTGCATCCTCCTATTATGATGGAGGAAACCTCTGAAATCAAGAGATAAACAATTCCTCCCTCCTTTCATGGTTTTGCTCAGGTCACAGCAGTGAGAAACTACCTACAGTTGCCTAGGTTCTCTGACGGAGAATGGAGTGGGACGCTGGAGCTCTTGTTTGCGGGCCAGCCTGGCAGAAAAGGCATCCCTGGAGTGGAGGGCCATTAAAGGTAGGCACCAGGTCTGCGTGGTCACAGTTACCAGCTAGGATACACATATTGTGCAAGGGTGACAATCAAGAGGAGCAAGAGTGGGCCCTATGCCAGTCAAAGGAAAGGAAGGAAAACAAACTCCTAGAAATAGAGAGAGACTATTCAGTTGTCAAAATATCAACACCTGATGCAAAGTAAAGAGAGGTGTCAGGGTTTTGGCAGTGCTGAACATTGACGGTTCAGTGTTGTGAGGCTACAGAGTACAGGGAAGGGATAAGGGCGTACTGTAATGTTCTGTCCTGTCCCTTTAAGAGACAAGCCCCGCCCACTCCGTCCCTTCAGCCTAGGCAAATGCATCTTTCTTAGCTTCTATACTGTGCTCTGTCTCTGTCTGCTCCATCCCTCTTCAGAAAAGGTGACTATGGCCTCTCCTCCTCTTCCCCTCCTCTCTCTCTCTCCTCCATCTCTCTCTCTCTCTCCCCTCCCCCTTTTCCTTCTCTTCCCACTAAATAAATTATGCCCAGTTCTTCTGCATGGCGTCTATCCATCTCTCACCTGCTGCCACAGCTCCTCACGGGACCAGCTGCCCTTCCGACCCACCGATGTCTCTCACCCACAGCCTCCCCTCACTGCCCCCTACTGCCCCTCGCGGACCTGTGCCACTTTTATCTTAACCATTACATTGGTGCTCTGTGACAAGGCCAGGCTCCTTCCATCCATAGGCAGGCTGGCTGAGGACACATGGAACCCTGGGCTCAGGAACCTGGTTTCTTCACAAGAGCCCTGCCTAAGCCCTGACCTCTATGCACACCAGCGACTTCGGTGATAAGTTTTCCTCTTCCAGTCAGCTTAACCATTTCTCTGATCCTGAGGAACTGACTGTTGAGCTCCTGGAAATCCTCTGTTCCTAGCAATGAGGGAAAGGCCCCCAACCACAGCCTTCATGACTACAATTGAGCCCTTCATTGACATTCCTTTCTGGTTGCTTCCCATAGCTAAAAATGTGACTAGACTAATTGGGTTAGTCCTCCCTTGCTAGCACTGCACACGTTGAGTGGTGTGCATGCTTTGGGGCACGGGGTTCCTCGTTTCTTTCTCTTTTCTTTTGGACCACTCGTAAGTGGTCCCCGCTATGAGAGACCCACTCAGGAAGGCTTCTAGCCTCTGGCTTCTGAGTTTCCCAGATCCGGGCCAGTCGGCTTCATTAATACCCCACCTGTAGAGAGAAGATGTTCTTCTACAGGCCTTGTGGTGTTTGTTCGTTGTTTTCATGGGTTTTCACGTTTTCAGCTATGGAATATAAACCCTTAAACTATCAGGCACCCACCTGTAAACGCTCTGCCGGTGTCCTTCCGGCTCTGCTTTTCCTTTCACTTGTCAGCCCCTTCCCCACCCATCTGAAAATGCTCTTTTCCTTTTGCTCCCATTCCTTCTATCCTTGCCACTGCTACCACTGGTCCCATGGAAACCGACAAGATTAGATCACCAAGGCAGTTGTTTCCAATTCTAGGCTTTGCTCCCCATAATGGCTCAGCTACAGGGCAGCTCACGGTGCTGAGTAATTTTCCTCTCTGCTTCATGTATAAAAGAATGCGTGAATGGTGTGGCCACACGGATGCAATTCTGTTTTAAATGCATGTTCTACAAGCCTCTATATCTCTCTTGTTATTATGTTTAAAACTCTTGTGGCTCAAAAAACGTGACTTTTCCTTACAAAACGGGATGACAAACTTTTTGACTGAGGTCAGATGACCTTACTGCCATCTTAACTGAGGTCAGGTGACTTCACTGCCACCTTAACTGAGGGCCAGATCAGGTGACCAAGTCCCACCATCTTTACTGGGGTATTCCCTGCCTGGTTCCCTGGGGCTGACCCTCTTACATGTGTGTTTTGTGTGGTGACATGCCTTTGGTAGGGCCCACCAAGAGCACCCACCTCACCTGTTTAATGTGTGTGTGAGTGCATACATGTGACTTAAATGCACATATGTTTAGTGTTAAATGTTATAATTGTCTGTCCATTATATCTCATTTCAGACTAACAAAGCAATAAGTCTTATGTTTTAAATTGGTATGTACTTTTAAGTCTCTTACATAAAATACTATATATTAAATCCAACCCTGCTTTAAAATATATTAATCTATTCTCTACTATTCTCAGTTCTGCCATTAACCTTCTAGTGCAAGAAGTTTTTCTTCTTTCTGTCTTTTAAAAGTGTATTTTTACCTGTACAGTCAAGCTTAGACCCAGCTCTCCACACAGATTCTATACTGTAGTTATAACTCATCTATACCCAGTAAACAGCCCTCAACTGCTCAGAGGTATGGGGAATATGGCATTTAAATGCTTAATTATTAAAAAAAAAAACCTTTCATAACAGAGACAGGTTGGCTCCTAGCAGCAGCACTCTACTTTCTTTTCTGTCAAGACAGGTGGGCACAAAACAACGTCTATCTGCACTTTGCTTCAACTGCCAAGTGCTGACCACTGGATGAAACTGCCTTTCATCTAAACTGAAGATCTCCAGACAGCGGAGAGAATCACCAGAATCAAAAGTCTGGCTGTTCAGGTCAAGGTAGCCTTGTCTTCTTACAGATATCTTAGCCCACAAGATTTTCTGAAGCCTGGCAGGCCCTGCACTAAACAGCAAAAGAAAAATATGACTCTCAACAACCATGAAGGACCCTGCCAACCAAGTTAAGTTCTCTGTCATTTTTAAATCAATATCTCAAGCAAAATTTTATTCTTCTCAAAGTTCTCTGATGCAGTTTGACAGATGAGAGGTTTTATTGTTTAAAGGGACAACCTCACCAAGCAAATTTCTATAAGATACAAGTTAACAAAATTCTCTCTCATAGTCTGCCTTTCATAGTCTTAAAGATACTTTTCATTATGCAAAAATATCTGTCACAGTCATTCTGTTATAAATATGCTGCTGTTTAATCTTATATTTTCACAAACCCCCAAAATTCTTGTGAGTTCCAGGGAGACAAATTAAAGGGTCGACTTTAAAGAGGTCAGATACACCCCCTCTCAATTTTCTGGTCCTAATTTTTTTTCCTAAACATAACTTTGTTCTCTGTTTTGCCAATATCTTAAATAGGTCTAAGAGATGAGACACTGGACATTTCCATACCACAAACACCAGTCAGGAGCAAAGAGACCAACTTCCCCAGGATGTGACCAGCACCCATCTTTCTCAGGTTCCTTTCCTTCTGCTTCCATCCTGTGCTCTCTCTGATCCATCCCTCTTTGGAAGAGGTAGCTGGGACTTCTCCTTTTCTTCCACTTCCTCCTCCTCCTCCTCCTCCTCCTCCTCCTCCTCCTCCTCCTCCCCTCCCTCCCTCCCTCCCTCCCTCCCTCCCCCCCCTCTCTCTCCCCTTTCCACATTTCTCTATAACCCACTAAATAAAGTATATCCATTTTCTCTACGTGGTGTCTCTCCATCTCTCACCCACTACAGCTCCTCATGGGACCGACTGTCCTACTGACTCACCAAGGTCTCTCACCCACCACCTCCCACCTGCCTGAGACTCGGCTGCCCCGTTACACTTACCTAAGTAGAGCAGGCCAAGAAAGGACTAGGTCTCTTGGCTTGTTACAGAAAGAATGAGAATCACAACATATATTTTGAAATAGAAAACTTTTCATGGACATAGTAGTGTTAATGCAACTACTAGCACATGTCTGTATTCCAACTAATCGTTTTTTACCTGCAGAGGAAGAAAGGCAAAAGGCAAACCAAAGGCATTTTAGAATGAATCATTACTTCATCAATGAGAAGATCCCAGTTAGATGGTCAATCCTTCATCTGTTGATTTACACACAGAGTACTCTATTCACAAAGGTACTTAGTGGAATTTTAGTGTATAAAATTTCTTCATTCCTGATTGAATTCACCTATGAATATGCAAGAACCACCAAGAGTGCCTTTAAAATTATTATTTATCTTAGTTTATTTATTTGTCTGAACTATCATTACTGGCAACCAGTACCCAAAGTAGGAAAGCCCTACTTTTATACAGAAGCACATTCTCCCACACTCTCCATCTTTACCCATGAAGCTAAGGAAGGCTGTATCCCTCAAGGGCAGGCATGATCACTCTAAAACCTCTGAGACCTCACATACCTATAGACAAAATGGTTAGGAGACACTTCTCCTTATCTTTTGTCTCACAGTAGTGCTCTGATGTCTTACAAATCTTGGAAGATAGGTAATGTTCACACTTGATGCATCGCAGAGCTGAAAGGCAAAACCAAGTGTGAGAGGTTTATTTAGGGTCAGTTTCAAGCATCATGCTGTGGCACAGAAGAAGAAACGATGACCAGGGGAAGACTGGGTTGTCTGTTTTGTGGACCCCTGCAGGTCTCTGGAAAGGGATGACTTCAGAACAGCAAAAAGGTCTCTTTACTCTAAATTTTGGGAATAGACATATGAGAAGGATGAATATCAAAGATCTGATGGGGGCTGCCTAAGCCAATGTGGGAGCCTACATAAGTGGATCCGTTCCACCTTGACTAAATGTCAAAGAGTTTAGGCCTATTCTTGCTCCTTCAGGGTTATTGACAGGAGATTTAACTTACGGTGTGGCTACTCACAAAGATGTCTTGACCTGGGGTGTGGTTACTTGGTGTTTTGGGTGTTAAGATGATAATCACTTTGCTTGTTCTTGCATTACAATAAAAAAGTCTTCTGCTTTTTAACCTTTTTGGATTGGGGTATTTAAAGATCATTTGAAGCAAACATGGGTGGATTCAGTATTCCTGGGTTGCCCTCCCATGACTATCCTATGTCTCTTTATTTCTTTTGTATTGCTGTTTGTTCTGTCTAACATTTCTAATCCACACATTCATACCCTGGAATGTACAAATGCATTGAGGCTGGACCCTGACAAATGCAACCCCAATGTGTGGGTATGACAGATGGTGCCCAACATGGGATGCCAACAGATGCCCCTCAAAGCAGGACATATGACAGATAACGCATGGGCATCTGGCCAGCAGTATAGGAGAAAAAAAAGTAGAGGAACCTGCATATGAATATTACACCATAGGTATAGAGGTAAGAATTGAGTGCTCAGACAGTAATAGATAATAATGGTAAAAAGGTGGGAGACGAAATATCTGGAGTAAAGTTATATATTACTGTATGCATGGGACAAGGAAAGAGTAAACAATGGTTTGTACATTTACTTGGGTGTATTTTAATATCCAGAGGAGCTGGCATAGAGTAGAAACAAATGCAAAGAATTTTAGAGTTTGTAGATAATTAAATACTCTACTCCTCTGCCCCCATCCTGGTGGCATAGCAGCCCTGGCCTAAAGATAGCTCTGGGATTTGGAGAGGCCAAGGTGTGGCCCTATTGGTGCTCCAGTCAAGCTGACCTGCAGATGCTGTGGCCTTGGAGCAGCAGCCTCTGCACTGCTGAGCAGGTAGGGAAATGAAGGGAGCATGGGTGGGGCACATGGCCTGGCAATGGCTGCAAGCCAGCTGTGCTCATGTGCTTTAGCCAGCTGAGTCTGGCCTGCACCATGCTGCAGTGAAGAAAGTCAGGAGGCAGAAAAGTTTGGAGGCCTCCCACAGAAGGTGCTTTGAACAGGAATTATCTAGAGGCAGTATGGCTCACAAAATCAAACAAGTTTATAGGGGTAGACAGCCAAGCTGCAGAGAGCACAGCTGTGCCCTTCCCTGCTCCCAGCTTCAGCTGCAAGCCAAGGTCCCTGGTTCCCAGCCTGACAGTCAAGTATCTGTTGAAATGCAAATGTACCCCTAACCAGGTGTCTGAGAAAACCTATCAGCTAGTGAAACTTGCAGTTTGGATTTAAAAGATAATTTGTGGGAACTGCAGCCCCCAGTTGATATCCCTGCCCCCATTTGAGGTGCTTATCTGCAAGGAAAACATAATAAATTCCCTCTGCTCCTGGAGCGGGGAAGGAAGGAATTTTAAGTGCATGGTGACCAGTCCTTGATCCCTGCTAGGGTCAGGTTACAGTCCCTTCGCAGCCCCCTCCTCATTTGGTGCCATGTTATAAAACCAGCCCAGCAGACAACAAAGAGAAGCTGTTCCACCTCAAGCTGTGCTCTGTGTATTCATTCAACCTGGACACCCTCCGCCGAGACTCTTGGTTCCAGCCCGCGCTGGCGCGGCAATAATTTACAAACTTTAAATAAGATGTCCAATGACTATGGTCCTATTTATTATTATTTACAGGGGATCTTGAACCCCTCAGTGAAATTCTTTTTTTTTTTTTCTTAAAGGGGAGTAATGATCCTGATTTCCCCAGACAGCTCATGGAAGTTGCTAAACACAATATTGGTTCTAAAAGGAAAAGCATACAATATACATGCCCATAGAGATTTGAAAGCACAGCTTCAAAAAATAAATAAATAAGGAGAATTACGCCCTCAGTCTATGTTGTTTATGTTGAAAAGACCCTTGCACTAGATTTTGGAAAAGACTTGATCCTGTTTCAATATGGAGTCCAGGGCATGTCTGTATTTTTCCACAGGAGGAGAATGAAGCAAGATGGCTTCCAGGACATCTGGTCTGATGTGTGCAGCAGAAGAATGCCAGCCCCTATGACATCATAGTCACTGGTGCCCCCAGAGCCTCAGAGAAGACTATGGGTGAAATTCCTGAACTTGTGTTTCTGACTTTCTTATGCCATCATACTGCAGTCTAAGAAAGGAAAGAAGATGGTAGTGATGATTGGTGATTCCTAGTTTCTTGGTGGACTTACTGCATAAAGATACACATCAATGTGTCTTTCTTACTTTGGAGCTGGTCCAAGAATGCTGAAAGAAGGTTTGGATTATCCATACTATATCATGGGATACAGACCTCATTTTGCCAGTACGGTATTCAATCTGTTCTTGCAATAAAGGACATGAGAACTGAGACCTCAAATTATCCCTCTGTGGAAAAGAGACTCATTATGGAGACAAAGGGTGACTGAAACCCCTCTTCAGAAATAATGAGGAATCACCTAAAAGTTTTTGCTGCTGCTCAGAGACTGGGACAGTTTGAACTTATCTTTGAAAGTTAGAAGCAGCAATGCTGTTGGACTATAGGAGAGGAAAAATATTCACAGCTCATCCATCACAAAAACCTTCTTGTCATCTTATTAGAATGGATTTAAGAGATTTGTTCCCTGAGAAATTATGTGTTTATTGTTAATTTTTATGATAGAATTATGGTATTGACCTGCCAATATTTGTAACTTCTTTAGTTCACATTGAAGATGTTACTGATCAGAAAAAGGTTAGAGTTTGTCCAAGACAAGTTTGGCATTGTCAATGAGTCCTTAGATTTGATACATTTAAAAGGACAAATTTGGATTTTGATTGCAACTAAAAACTGTTAAAGACATCTGAGACCAATTTAAAAAGGCAATTTCACCTCTGGTCATCTTCTACTACATTATTAGGAGATATTGTATCCATTGGAGTATATGTATCCCAAAGCATTATTTGCTTGTATATGATTGCCCAGTTGTCTATGAACTCTTTCATTGGAAAGTTGGCTCAGAGGTATATAATACCCAGCTTTGCATCATCCCTTAACCCTTTATTTACAGAGTCTGATAGTCAATTACAGGTAAGATCTTTTCCCCTCTAGACAATCTAAGACATGGTGTGCATGACAGAATGTACATACCAATGACAGGTAAGTCTGGAAAGTGGAAGAAGACAGCCTAAGACAGACACAGTCATTTGTCCTGTAGCAGAAGCACAGGCTTTATTAAATGAATTAAAAAGAGAGGAATATGTGGGGACTCACAGAAGTTAGTTCACTCTAACTTGGCTGAAGGTCAGAGAGTTTAAGCCTACTCTTGCTCTTTCAAGGTTACTGACAAGATGGCTGACTTAAGGTGTGGCTACAATAAGATATCTTGACCTAGAGTATGGTTACATGAGAAGGCCCACAGAGGTGTTCCACCATGACCAAAGGTCACAGAATTCATGCCTATTCCTGCTCATTCAAGGATATGATAGGAAGTTTGACCCAGGGAGTGGCTGCCTATAGGATACTTGGTCTAAGAAGTAGTCACTGTATGCCCTGCCTAAATAACAGAATGCTTAACTCAGGATATGATTGCTTGGTGTTTCAGATATTAAAACAGGTAATTGATTTACTTGTTTTTGTGCCATGTTAAAACAGTGAAGTCTTTTTCCTTCTTACCCCCCTTTTGGATTGGGCTATATAAGTAAATGGAAAATAAACATGTGCAGATTCAGTATTGGGATTGCCTTCCCAATTTGACTCTGCAAAATCTCTCTTCCTTTTTTTTCATATCTCTGTTCTTCCTATCTAATATTTTTAATCTACAAGCTCCTACCCTGGAACATGTGAGCCTGGTTGAGGCTGGACTCCAACAATTGTTGTTATCATAATGAATAGTGCAGGCAAAGTTAATTTTATGGTGGCATGACTCCTGTGGACTTTGGTACTGTCTAATCTTGGTGTTCCCAGGCATGAAGTAGACAAGAAGGCTACTGTATTTGTGTTTGATCCATATGTGAAGAGAAATTTTCAAACAAATGGAGGAAATGCTATACTGAATCATGATAAGAAGGAATCTTGGCCAACAAACACATTTCCAGATGTGAGTCACTTTTTAGACCCAGAACTCCTTGAATGAAAGGAAAACAAAGTCCCCAAGATAGACAAAATCAGAAAAGAAGCTCAACATAAAATATAATAAAAAAAATTAAACGTACAGAAAAAACAAAGGACATTAAAAATTACAAGGGAAAACACTATGTTACTTATAAAGGTATGTTCATTAGAATAACCCATGACTTTTCAGTGGAAACTCTGAAAGTCAGAAGGACCTGTTTAGATGTTCTTACAAGCTCTGAGAGATCACAGACACCAGTCCAGACTATACACAGCAAAACTATCCATTACAGTTGACAGCCAAAAATGACTCTGTAATATAAATCGGAGCAATTATATTCTCCAATGCAGCTCTACAGAAGACATTAAAAGAAAAGCTTTAGTCTCAGGAAGTTAACTGAAATCAAGATGACATAAGAAATAAATAATCAAGAAGGGGAAACCCCACACCACCACAACAAAATAATGTAAAAAACTAAACACTGCTCATTAATAATTCTCAATATTTAAGGGTTCAATTTACCAACAAAAAGAAGGAACCTAACAGATTGAATTAGAAAAAGGACTTATCTTTCTGCTATAGCTAAAAAACATACCTCAACATCAAGGATGGATATCACCT